CTCTCTCTCTCTCTCTCTCTCTCTCTCTCTCCCCCCCCCTCTGTGCCCCGCCCCCACTCATGCGCACACACGCCTGTTCGCACGTGCTCTCTCTCTCTCTCTCTCGCAAAATAAACAAACGTTTAAAAAACATTACGTCTAGAGGGTCATAGGCGTGTGTCGTTCAGTGACTTGAGACTCTGGTCTTCGTTTCTTGTTCTGGCACCAGCTGATCGGCATGCTGCTGGCCTGCTGTCTGTCCCGGTTCATCACGGCCAACCAATATGAGATGGTGTAAGGAGAAGGTGAGTGGATGTGGGGAGCGTTCAGTTTCGGGGTTCTCCCTTTGGGGCACATACTACCCTTCAAAGGGGCAAGGGTACCGCCTGGCCACTTAACTACTTGCTCGCTGGGGCACCTGTGCATGTGCTGAAACCTCGTTTCCGTGGTGCTGGGGAGGAGATGTGGTCACTGCTCTTGTGCAAAATGTAGTGCCCTTTTCAGCCTGTCACCTTCTTTTCAGTCCTTATTAATGGTGAGTCACTCACATATTTTCATTTCTCTCATAGTCTTTCAAGAACGATGGCCTAAGAGACCTGTTTTAAAAAGGAACCACGGCAATCTTTGAAAGACTTGCAAAGGATGTCAGAGCACAGTGCATAACACACCTGTCCCGCGCTCCCTAACCCCCAACCCAGCGTGCAACTGACCCGCCCACACAGTCTCTGCTCCGCCTTCCAGCCCGCATCATGTGTAGCGTTCCGTTTTGTGAAGCCCCGTGTGCCAGAGTGTAGCCAGGTTCCCTGCATCCGGTCCTAGCGGACCCCACCTGAGGCCCCGTGCGCACCAGATCCTCCATCTGTACTTGGTCCGACTGCAGCTCATTGTAGGTGACTGGTCATCCCACCATCACTGGCCCGGCCGGGCCCTGCATGTAGTGTGGAAGGCTCCTGCTAGCCCTTCATCCTGATCGATAAACGCCATACCCCTTGATGTAGATAAGCAGCTAGCCAGCTGTTCTTCTGGCTTAACCTCCTTTGGTTTGGTTTTCCCTTTACTAAGGCTCTTACTACCTTCTTCAGGCTGCCTAGGATATGTAAAGAGATACACCAGTAATTGTCCATGCAGAGAAAAAAAGCATGCGTCACGCACGAAGGGAACTGCTGAGCGTTAGGTGGCCTTCTCCTTGCTCATTATTGTTACATGCCTGGGTATGTGTAGACAGTTTAGTGCACCTATGCCTCTCGGTTGAAACCTGTATAATCCTGTTACCAAGCCGTATTGTTACTTCCTGTGAAGGAAATATTACTTCTGTTTCTCCCCAATTAATTGCTATTGTGTTATTTTACTTCTGTATATTTTCTTTGCATTGACATTACAGACATCGAGGACCTCATCGAATCAATTTAAAAATGAGTGTGAAGGGGGAACAAAGTCAAAATATTTTTAGAAGACCTTCAGAAACAATGCCTCTGTCTAGCATGCCAACAAGAATGCATTGATATTGTGAAACATTTGTGATACATGTATTAATAAATAGAATCACTACAACTTGCCTTGTTTTGTTCTTTGGTTGTTGTGTAAGTTTCTAAACACGTATTTCTATTTCATCTTGTTCCATGGGGGATTGGAGGAGGACCACCTTCCATGCTCTCACCCTACCGAAACAGCCTCGGGCAGTGTCAAAGCTGAAGGGTTAGGTTTTTTTTATGGACACTTCAGGAACTTAAAACATTTATCATGAACAGGATGTATTACTGTTGGCCGCAAAAAATAGATGCTTCGCATTATTTCAGGCTAGAGGCAGAAAGATTTCAGCAGTTTTCAAAAGTCTGAATGTCATTAAAACAAACCAACAAGAAAAGGAAATGAGCATCGATTCTCTCCTTTGTTGTTTCTAATGAGCGTGTATTTTTCCTTACTTTTTTCTCTGGATTGAAGGAAGATAGTCTAGAGAAGAAATGACATCATACCATGCCGTCATCCCCATGCCCTGCTTTATACTAAAGTATGGAATCCTTATACTTGGTTAAAAGAACGTTTTAGCAATAGGTACAGCATATGTTATCTGCGATCTGTGTTTTCCTCCTGATGAGTCCCCTTAGGGGAAAAAAAAAAACTAGTAAAATATATATTGATCCCAAAAAAGTAGATCTAAAAAGCCCCCTCTTCTCTGTAGAACAAGCTGTAATGAGGACAGAGATGGCATTCTAACCATATGCATTTATTAGCCTGAACATACATCGGTGCTTACGAAGGGCACTGCCCCACACCTTCAGATAGTTCATCTTCAGAAGATCAACGTTTTTAGGGTCGCCTGGGTGGCTCAGTCGGTTAAGCGTCAGACTTCAGCTCAGCTCATCATCTCATAGTTTGTGGGTTCGAGCCCTGCATTGGGCTCTGTGCTGACAGCTCGGAGCCTGGAGCCTGCTTTGGATTCTGTGTCTCCCTCTCTCTCTGCCCCTCCCCCACTCACTCTCTCTCTCTCTCTCTCTCTCTCTCTCTCTTTCAAAAATAAATAAAAGTTAAAAAAAATTTTTTAAAGGTCAACATTTTGAGACATTTAAGATCTTTCTGAGAGTTTCTTTGGGTTTTTCTCTAACTTTTTGTGTTGTATCTTAGCTCATTAATATGTGCTAAAAAAAAGGTGCTGCTTTAGTTGCTTCAGTTTTGGTTTGCAATTTTGGTTGTATTTTATTCTAGATATTTTGCAGTTTTCTTTAGGATTTATGCACTGAATCATACAGGAATTGTTTTGTTTTGTTTTCTAAGTTTCCAAATGTGTAGAGTTTGAGGCTGCATTTTTGTTCAGAACAACTCGGTTTGTGAGATAAAGATTCTCTGTTATTTGCTGAGGCTTGCTTTGTGCCCTGGTATGTGGTTCCAGTTTGTTCTGTGTGTGCTTGAAAGGGATGTATATTTTCTGATTATAGGGTGCAGAGTTTGAGTAAGGTTGTAAATATATTCAAGTAGTAAATTTTAGAACTGTTCAAATTATCTGCGTTCTTAGGAATATTTTGTCCATTTGACCTATTGGGTTCTGAGGACGATGCCCTAAAATCCCCCACCGTGACTGGATTTTGTCGATTTTTGCTTCATGTATTTTTAAGCTATATTGTTAGGGACGTGCAAGTTCATGATTATGTCTCATTGATGAATTATTTCCTTCGTCATTATCAACTGACCCTCTTTATCCCTAATTATGATTTTTTTCTTTTAAAGTTCATTTTGGCTGACGATTACAAATGTTAAGATTACTTTTCTTTTGATGAATATTTGCAAGGCTATTGCTCCAGACCCCTCTGCTTCCAGCCCTTTCTGTGTCATATTTCAGATGCATCTCTTAAACAGCATGTAGCTGCATATTTTCTTCTTTGGCTCAATATGAGAAAGTCTCAACCAAAAAGCTTAATCCAGTTATGGATTGTGATTATGGATATACAGGATTTGGTTTTATCTCTAGCACATTTGTTTCCTGTCTACATTTCTTTCTTGTTTCTCTTCCCTGCCTTTTTTTTTTGGAAACTATACATTATATTTATTCTTTTAGTGGTTAATCTTAATTTCTTAATGTGTGTACTTGAAATATAAAGCTTTTTTAAAATTTTTTAATGTTTATTGATATTTGAGAGAGAAGGAGACAGAGCACAAGTGGGGGAGGGGCAGAGAGATGGAGACAGAATCCAAAGCAGGCTCTGAGCATCTAGCTGTGAGCTGTCAGTGCAGAGCCCAACACAGGGCTCGAACTCACGAGCAGTGAGATCATGACCTGAGCCAAAGTCCGATGCTTAACTGATCCACCCAGGTGCCCCGAAATATAAAATTAATCAGAATCTCTATCTTCTTCCAAAATAACACAAAGACCTTGGAGTGTGTTAATTCTAGGCACTTCTCACTTAAATTCCATGCTTCTGTTGCCTGACATTGTGTTTCTACTGTCTCCCAAAATGAATCATGACCATCACTGTTTTTAGGGTTTATTTAGATTTACCTACCTGCATACCAGTTTTTTGTTCTGTTTTGTTTCTTTAACCACTGTTCCTTGCATCTCATCCTTTGGGGTTCAATTTTGGGTTTGTTTTGTTTTTTTTTTTTTTTTGAAGTACATGTTTGTTTGCTTATCAAGGAGTTTATTTATATGTGCTAAATTATCTCAATCTTTGAAAAATCTGCATGTCATTTGTACTCTTAAATGATAGTTTAACTGGGGCTAAAATTCTAATTTGGTAGTTGAAAGTATTCCTGGCCTTTCACTGTTATTAATAATAAGTCTAATTGGGGCGCCTGGGTGGTGGCGCAGTCGGTTAAGCGTCCGACTTCAGCCAGGTCACGATCTCGCGGTCCGGGAGTTCGAGCCCCGCGTCAGGCTCTGGGCTGATGGCTCAGAGCCTGGAGCCTGTTTCCGATTCTGTGTCTCCCTCTCTCTCTGCCCCTCCCCCATTCATGCTCTGTCTCTCTCTGTCCCAAAAATAAATAAACGTTGAAAAAAATAAAAAATAATAATAATAAGTCTAATTGTTCGTTTTGAGGTCATTTATCATTTCTCCCTAGTGATATCATTTCTCACTAGTTGCCATTAAGACTTTTTTGGGGTGCCTGGGTAACTCAGCTGAGTGTCTGACTTCAGCTCAGGTTATGATCCCGTGGTTCATGAGTTTGAGCCCCGCATCGGGCTCACTGCTTTCAGCGCAGAGCACGCTTCAGATCCTCTGTCCCCCTCTCTCTCTCTCAAAAAAGAAGACTTTCTTTCCCCAGCTTTATTGAGATATAATTGACATATAACATTGTGTAAGCTCAAGATGTACAGTGTGATACATGTATACATTGTGAAATGTTCACCACAATAAGGTTCGTTAACACATCCTTCACATAATTCCCAATTTTGTTATTGTCTTGGTGAGAACATTTAAGATCTACTTGCATAGAAACTTTTTAAAAATTTTTTTTAACATTTATTCATTCTTTTTTTTTTTTAATTTTTTTTTTTTTTTTT